GTAGCATTGCTATTTTGGTTAGCAGCTGCATTGGTATACTGCTTGGAATTGTCTTGGGGAACTGATGGTCTTTTCCCTTGAAAATCTACCTCACGCTTAAGCTTTTTATTATCTATTTTATCATCTATGGATTTCTGCCTCGTCTGTCTTACTGTTTCTGGTGTACCAATTCTGCTTGTATGCCGTGGGGAATGCTCATGCTTCTTGTGGGGAGATGCGCCACTCTCTCTCTTGTCGCCTATGTAAGGACTTGACTTGCCAATACTTCTCTGTCCATTGCTTATATGATAAATACCAGCTGACTGAGATTCAGGTGGAAGCTGTCCCAAAGGTTTTTTGGGATATTCATCCTCTTTACCAGGTTCTGGAAGATCTAATTTCGCTCGTTTTAGTTCTACCATAGAAATTTGAAGTTGTTCTATTACAAAATCATCTTCAAAGAAAAAATCCTTTGCCAGGGTTTCCTGAAGAAATTCTACAAGTTCTTCCATAGACAATCTCATTAGATGTTTTTTGTGTAATTTTAAGATTGTATAAGACATAGCAGTAAGAATTCATTCTCCTTCAAATATGTAGATATCCCATATTCTTAGGTTGAGTGTAAATGGAGTTCGATCAAGAAAGCACTGAAAAAACCATTTCATTGTATAAAAGCTTGTGTAGATTTCTTGAGAATCCAAGTGTTGCTTAAGCTTGGACAGAAATTTATTCAGTATTTTTTCATGGTGTTCTTGGAACCTCAAGAGTTTAGGAAAACCTTGGACAAAAAAGCCATGCATAGCATGCTTGGGACCTGAGAATAGTTTGACCAGGGCCCAGAAGGCATCTTCTTCATTCATATACATGAGGAGTAAAGCTGTGATCTGGCTCATTCCCTGACAGTATCCAACTTCCGTATTATATATAGAATAAGCAGCAAGAATGTGGAATAAGGACTGTTGCTTAACACCATATCTGTCTCTAAACATAATATGATCCCTAAACGTGCGGTTGACATCAAGGTCAATCTGTCTGATATCAGGTGAACAACCCCGTGCTCTGTGTTTCTTCTTTCATTTTAGGGATCTCAAGAAGTAAGGCCCAGACTTCACCTCTGAGCTGGAGGGGAATTCCTTTGTATATTCTCCTATGAAACTTTTCAGTGTTCTTGTATTTTTCCCATCCTTTCAGCATTTTCAGCCACTTAGTAGTTCTTTCAATTTCCAGGTGTTTTTGCCGTTCCACAGCTGCATTATGGTATGGGAGCTCCTGCTCATGTAAAAAGCCAAATCTATCTGTGACTTTGTAAACAAGGTAATTAGCATCTTCCCACGGCTCAATCTCTGCACCTTCTCGACCTCTGTCATATTTAGCAACAATTTCAGCTCGCTCCTGGGCAAGTTTGAGTGCTACATCCTGGTCTGAATTCATGACTGGCTATGTCTCTGTATGTTATCCAAATCAGGTGTTAAACCAAAATTTGCTGTCCAAGGTTTCTCAGAGGAATTCATGTCCTGTCTCAGGACTGTCCCGTCGGCAGAGGATGTGGGCAGTGGGCAGAGGGGGAGTCCCGGGCCGCAGAGCAAGACCTGGCGCGGCTGCGCTGCGCGACGGCGGCGGCTTATTACTGCAGTGCCCTTCGCCCCATTGTTTCCCTTCCAAGAGGATCCCGGCGAAGCTGAGCCCGGGAACCAGGAAGTTCCCCGGCGCGACACCTCCTGCCGCCCTGGATAACTGTTTCAAGTACAGGGTAACTAACTAGCTCATTGCCATCTAGTCTGAACACTCATAGTTGACCCTCCAGCAGGTTTCTGGGCTGTAAACCACACAAAGAGAGACTGCCCATTTTTTAAATTATTATTAATTTTAATGAAAGTTCACAGAGAACATTGGATTTCCATTCATTCATTGTTCCACTCTCCTCCCCGCCCAACCTCCCCCAACAGTTCCCTCCTGTTTTATTATTTTGTGTGTGTGTGTGTATCGTCAAATTAGATCTGACTGGTACAGGAGGAGATTGTCCCTCCTTTTCCAGCAGAGCATCTGGTAGATTCGAACCGCATACCGAGGGGATTGCAGTGCAGCTTCTTGCCTCTAGGCCACCAGAGCTCCCTCGCTCCTCTCTTTGAAAAGTAAAAGAAAAATTCTTTCACTGTTATACAAGCCCTTCCCCCAAGTCCACTCCACTATGCAGCCTTCTTTCTGGACTCCTATCATGACAATAATACCTAATCACATATCTCCTTTAAATGGTTCTCTCCCATAGGGGAGCTCTGGTGGCCTAGGGGCAAGGAGCTGCAACTATAATCCCAGAGGCAAACGGTTCAAATCCACCAGATGCTCTGCCGGGGAAGGAGGGACAATCTCCTCCTGTACCAGTCAGATCTGATTTGACGGTACACGCACACAAAAATAAAAAAATTTAAAAAAAAATGGTTCTCTCCCTCATTTGTTTCAATGCAGTATAATAATTTATCCCATCTTTCTCAGTCTTCCCCCAACCCGATGTCAGTCCCGTTTTACAACAGTGACATTATGGAGTATTTGTCTTTTTGTGACTGGGATATTTCACTCAGCATAATGTCCTCCAGGGTTACCCACTTTGTAGAATATTTCATGAGTTCCTTGTTTTTCAATGCAGCTTAGTATTCCATTGTTTGAATATACCACAGCGTCTCTATCCATTCATTTGTTGATAGGCACTTGGGCTGTTTCCAACTCTTTGCTATTGTGAACAAAGCCGCGATAAACAAGGGTGTGCATATCTGCTGGGGTGGCGGTTATGGTTTCTTTGGGATATATTCCCAGTAGTGGATTGCTGGGTCAAATGGTATTACTATTTACAACTTTTTGAGAAAGCGCCATACTGCCTTCCATAGTGGTTGCACCATTTTACACACCCACCAACAGTGAATAAGGGTTCCAGTTTTTCCACAACCTCGCCAGCATTTGTTGTTTGCAAGACTGCCTATTTTTCACCTGCAGAGCAGCTAGTATATTCCAACTGCCACCTTTTGGTTAGCAGTGCAACTCTCTACAGACTAGGTTACAAGATAGCAGTCCCTAGAAATGAAATAGTCTGGAGTCATATTGTTTTTCATCTCACAGAGTTCCTGGTGAGGAAAGTTCCTATTTCAGAGGCTTATGAGTAATATTCAGTGAAAATATGCACATAATGTGCAAAACACTATGCTTAGCACAAAGTAAACATCCAATAAATGCTTCAGAATATCAATAACCATGCTTCTACTGCCAAAAGATACCACTCACTTGTGGCTCCTGAGTTGGGACAGACTCCTAACTGACCCTCTATTAGAGTGCTGAAGCTGTAAATTGTATCCAAAGTAGATTCAAATCTACCAGTGAGGCTCAGCAGTACAATTGTCAATGGACAATACCACCAGCCCTCCCTCAAAAGATACCAGGGAATCCACATTGAGAATCGTGGTTTTTATTGGGAAATATCAGCAGATATGGTGGGAAATGGGAATAAGTCTTAGTGGGCTCAAGAGTGAGATTAGAGAACAAGAACCCATCCTGGGAAAATGAACCTGTGCAGAAGGTGTCAGGGGGTACCCAGAGGGATAGTGAAGGAGAGGTAGTCCCCAAGGGCACCCCAGCGGGGCCGGTAGATCTGGAAGATGGTGATCCAGGTGGTGAGCACAATCACCCAGAAGAGGAAGCCCACAGCTGAGCGCCAGACATCTAAGGGGGAGAAGAAAAGTGAGGGTTGTTGGTTTCCAGTTGCTTTCTGAGCTCCCTCAGGGCAGCGTTCTCCTCGCTTCAGCAGAGTCCCAGAGTTCTGGAACCTTCCCCTTCCCTCCGTGTCCCGGACTCACAGCCCTTGATTTGGCTCTGCTCCGTGTAAGCCGGCACCAGGAAGGCCTCTCGGAAGAACCAGAAGATGTTGACTAACCAGAGGAAAGGCAGGAAAGCAAACCCACCTACGGAGAAAAAAAGGCATGAGGGCCATAAGGCAACCGAGACCTTCCCCATCACCCTCCAGGCTCAAATGAGATCTAGTGCGAGGTCCTTTCCCACACAAGTGCCAATGGAGAGTGCTCTGCTGTCAGGGGCTCAGGAGTCTTGAATCCGCCTGGGATCCAAGAAATCTCATGCTTCAGTCATTCCTTTCTCATGATCTAGGAATTCAAACCTCAGCACCCTGCTCCCTGGGTCCCTACACTCCACTTCGCCCATGCCCAACGAGTCAACTCTTTCTTGCTTCTCTCCCCCAGGAACACAGGCCGCCAAACCCCTCTTCCAACAGACCTAGGATTCCAGCCCCACCCCTCCTCTCTTGGGACCCAAGAATTGCTTCCCTTCAGACTCCAGAGTCTGTGATTCCATCCAGTCACTTTATACCATAGGCGGACGAGTTCAAGCTCCCAGATCCTCCTCCCTCAGGCATAGTCGACCAGTCCCGTCCTGTCCCCGCCATCCCCCGCCCCCTTTCTCCCAGGACCCTACGCCCTCACCAAGGTAGTACTTCCGGCACAGGTTCAACTTCTCCTCGTTAGACACTCGTTCCAAATTCATAATTGCCCAGAGGATGCGCTGTCCCAAGGGTCTGCAAGGGAAGACCCAAATCTTGATCCTTAAGTGACAGAGAGGAGGATCCCGAATAACCACGCCCCTATCACGATAAAGGGAAGACAACTCAGGGTGGCGTTGCTGGAAGATAGACATCTCCACACCCACCGACAAGCTTATTGTCTGAGATCTTCTCTGTATTTAATGCACTGCGCGAAACAACCCCCGACTCACCAGGGTGATGCTCTGGCTACTAGCAAACACAGACCTCTGCGCCAGATATCGCAAGGCCTTCTGAAACTTGTAGTCTTTTCTTTTTCTAGTCCGGCACCGTTGTACGCATGCGCTCTCAGGAAACTCCGTCAAGTAATGCCGTTTGGAAGGCGAGGCCTCTGATAACCCTCAGGCATTGAGGGAGCTTCTAGGCGAGTGAGCGGCGCCCCTGAGGCAGCGCGGAACTACACTTCCCAACGCCCCTACAGAACGGAAGTGACGCAAGGGGCAGGTCGACTAGAAGGGTTCGGGTAAAAATGGCTGAATATTTAGCTTCCATATTCGGGACTGAGAAGGACAAGTGAGAATGGGCGCAGGGAGTGGCCCTTCGGGGGGAGGACGGGCAGGAACAAAGCACTGGGGTCCCTGACGGCTGGGCTGCTTGGGGCGGTGCTTCTGGGGTGTCCGGCCTCTCCGGCCCTCGGTTCACCTCTGTCTTTGCACCTCTTCCAGGGTTAACTGCTCTTTTTACTTTAAGATCGGGGCCTGCCGGCACGGGGACCGGTGCTCCCGGCTTCACAACAAACCGACGTTCAGCCAGGTGAGGCCCAGTGCGGAACTCTGGCGGTTAACACCTCTTGGTACCTTCTCCTGCGACCGTCCTTTTCCGGGTCCCTAACGCCCACTTTACTGCTTGTCCATCTTCAGGCCCCACCCCTAGGGACCTAGCCACGCCCCGCACGTGCAACCTACACCCTTGGGCTCCCTGTCACCGCTGGGTCCTCCTTTTGGTTTCCATTGAGCTAAGCATCGCTGCTCACGTTCCTCAACTTGTCACTTTCACTGTTAGTCTCTGTTCCCAGCTTCCCAAAACCTTTGTACATAACTCTGTCTGTGCTCAGCCCCTGCTCCTTTTAATTCCATTTAGACTATTGTGCTGCTCAACCTGTACCGGAATCCCCAGAACACAGCCCAAACCGCAGACGGATCGCACTGTGAGTGAGGGGCAAGGCCTGGGAGCAGGGCGGACAGCCCCCGATAGGCTCCCCTCCTCATCCCATCCTGCCCCCCTCCTCCAGGTCATGTCAGCGACGTGGAAGTGCAGGAACACTATGATAACTTCTTTGAGGTGAGGGTTGGAGAGGACGGGGTGGGTGGCCTGTGGGCCAGGAGTTAACGGTGTTCCTCCTTGTCTTCTGCAGGAGGTGTTCACGGAACTGCAGGAGAAGTATGGGGAGATTGAAGAGATGAATGTGTGTGACAACCTGGGAGACCATCTTGTGGGGAACGTCTATGTCAAGGTGTCTACCATCCTTTCACTGCTGTTGTTCTTGGGTTCTGTCCAGTAGGTTCCAACTCTTAAGAGACCCTGTGTACAAAAGTATGAAACTAGCATCCAGTCCTGTGCCATCCTCACCGTGGTAGCTAATTTTGAACTTATCATTGAAGCCACTGTGTCGATTCGTCTCATCAGGCATCTCCCTCCCTCTTTTTGCTGACATTCTTTCAAACATGATGTCCTTCTCCAGGACATGAGCCCTCTTGATAGCATGTCCAGAGTATGTGAGATGAATTGTCAGCGTTCTTGCTTCTCAGGACCACACGGGCTGTACATCCAAATATAATAGTTCCTTTTCTAGCTAGCTCACTGCTGTCAAGTCAGAACTGACTCATAGCTAACCTTCCATTGGGTTTCCAAGGTTGTAAATTGCCTGTGAGAATGCTCAGCTTTCAAAACCACCAAAAAAGGAGTTTGGGTTAGTAGCAAAATTTCCTAAGGACTATGCCGCCAGAGACACCCTTTCCCACACCATAGTTCAAAGGCATCAATTGCTCTTCAGTCTTCTTAGTCATTGTCCAGCTTTTGCATGCCTATGAAGCTCTCAAAACTAACATGGTGTGGGTCAGGCCCGCATTCATCTACAAAACGACCTCTTTGCTTTCTAACACTTAAAAAAAATCTTTTGCTGCAGAGGTACTCCATGAAATGTCACTGCTGCTTCCACGGTACTGACTGTGGATCTGTGGAAAATGAAATCCTTGACGACATTGTTTTCTTTCTTTATGGTTATTTTCTTGCAAGGATTTTTTTTTAAAGTCAGTGTGCCATTTATAATGAAGGGTATGATCTTTGAGCTTCGGTAGAAAGTATTTTAAGTTGTCATTGCTTTCCTAAAGCAAAGTTGTCATCTATATATCACAGATTGTCAGTGAATCTTTCTTCAGTCCTCTTGTGGTATTCTTCATATAGTGCAGCTGTTTGTGTTATTTGCTCAGCATGCAGACTGAATAGATATGGTAAAAGGGTACAACCCTTTCCTGATTTTAAACCATATAAGTAGCCTCTTGTTTTGCTCAGATGACTAATTTTGGCATGTGACAGAATCTACATGAACACAGTTGTCTAGAATTCCCATTCTTCATAATGTTACCCAAAATTTGTCATGATTCACAGTCATATATTTTTGCAGTAATCCCTAAAACACAGGTAAACATCTTTCTGGTTTTTGCCTTCAGCCAGGTTGCATCTGACAAACATCAGCAATGATAACACTCATTTTGCAGCCTCTTCTGAATCTAGCTTGAATGTCTGGCAGTTCCCTGTCCATATACTATTGCTTCCATTTTAAATTCTATTCAACAAAACTTTACTTTCATGTGATATTAATAATACTGTTTGAACTTTTACTTCATTATTTTTTCCATTTGCTATCTAATGCATTTTGTTCTTTTTTTCCCCTTTTTCTTCTTTCTCTCCTGTCTTTTTGATGAATGACTTTTTGCTTTCTTCATGTATGAATGATATCATTTCACAACCTGCCTAGTCTTCAGTCATTACTGTTTAGTGTGTCACAACTGTTCTTGAGGTGATCCTTAAATCCAGGTAGGATGTACTCAGGGTTGTACTTTGGCTCCCATGGACTTGTTTTCATTTTCTTCCACTTAAACTTGAGCTTGCATATGAGCCTCAGAGCCCAGATGCAGGGGCATTTTGGTATGAAATAGGCACCATCGAAATCTCTTAGCTTGAGGTTCATCGTTAAATCCTGCCCTTCCTCACAGTGGCTAGCTAAGTCTCCTTAAGATTTCAGTATTTGATTGTCAACCCTGGCCCACTCTCCCCGTAGTTCCGGCGAGAGGAAGATGCAGAACGGGCGGTGACGGAACTTAATAACCGCTGGTTTAACGGGCAGGCTGTGCATGCGGAGCTGTCTCCAGTCACTGACTTCCGGGAGTCATGCTGTCGACAGTATGAGATGGGGTATGGTGTGAAGGAATGGCATGGGCACCTGGGACCCTGGGCTCTGAGTATGTGAGAGGGCAAAGGCTGGCAGATAACCCCCTCCTGTACGGCCTCTCTCTAGGGAATGCACGCGTGGTGGCTTCTGCAACTTTATGCACCTGCGACCCATCTCCCGGAACCTCCGGAGGCAGCTCTATGGGCGGGGACCTCGGCGCAGGTACCGCAGACCCACCTTCTAAGAGTTTTTGTTTCCCAAGGGCAGCCCATGTACCCTTAAATGATTCTGATACTGTGTCAGACTCAAATAGCGTTCCAAGCCCTTTGTAACCCTAAAGCTTAGCCCCAGGCTCCGTCTGAGATCAGTCCTTAAGTTATAACCCTCAAAAAAAACTGCTTGAATTCTTGTACCATGTTGTGTGCTATCAAGCTAGAACTCTGCGCTGACCCTCCAGCTGGTTTACAGAGGCTGTAAATCGCATGGAGGAGAGTGCCCATATTTCTCCTGTGGAGCAGCTGGTATGGATTTGAATCTCATGCCTTTGGGTTGGTAGCACGACTCCTTATCACTAGGCCACCAGAGCTCTTTTTCCTCTACCATGACCGGTCAGAATTTCCAGTGACTATTCTCAGCAGGCACCTGTGCCCCACCCGAAAGCAGGGATGCAGATCCAGCAGGCACCACCGGTCACTTCCCATGGCTCTCACCCTCTACTTTCCACTCCTGCTCCCAGGTCGCCCCCAAGGTCCCATACTGGCCATCGTCCCCGAGAAAGGAACCGACGGTATTCCCCAGACCACCGACATGGCCGCTTTTGAAACCCTGGCCCCTTGCCCTTCCTTCCTGGACAGGCACAGTTCCTGGTCGGCCTTTTCCTCCGCGCTCCCTCCCTTCCTTGTCCCCCCTTCCCCTGGCTCTGGAACACCATGATAAAATCTGTTGGATACAGTGACTCAATAAAGTACGTATTTGATAGCTTTTGCGTTGAAGGTTTTTTCCCACCCCCGTATCTCCTGACAAAAGGGGAAGTAGGGCTGGGTTCCGGTTAGAAGCAGAGCAGCTGAACTTCGCACAACAGGTGGGGAAGCAGTAGGCTTGGGGTCCTGGGTCCAGGAAACCTTCAAATGGGATGGGTGAGGTGGGCTGGGGTGAGGTGCGACCCACTGAAACCACACAGCACATCTATTCAAAGCAGACCAAAGAGGGAGGTGCCTGCTTTGTGGGTGGTTAGAGGATTCTCCGCCATGAGATTCAAGCCGCTAAAGTGGGGTGACTGCAAATCAAGTGGAGGGGCATCTCAGCAAATTAAGACTGGGTCCTCAATGCCCAGTATCTCAAAACAGGAACTGGTGGGATCCTATCAGTGATGTTTCTGTCTGCTGAGCATTGTTCCAAGGGCTGTATTTCTAGCAGTAATTTTCATTCTTAAAAAGCTTGTGAGACAAGTACTGTTTGCTCATATTGAGGATGGGAAGAGAGAGGACAGGAAAGTGAGGAAATACAGCAGCATCTAGGATCTTGGCCTCAAATTCCTGGCTACCTGGCGGCCATAAGGGTCTTTTTTATAAAAGGGGCTGGGATGGGAAGAGGAGGCAGATTCCTGGCCTCCTAATGTGTCTGAGGGTCTGAGACCCCACATACACTGCTTCCTTCCTCCAATATCTTTTCCTGGAAGGTGCAGTAGAGGCTCTGTGGCCGGAAATCCTGCGGTCACTTGGGGTCCCGTCTCAAGCTGAAGGCTCCACCCTCATGGGTCCTCAGCACCTTCTGATGACTGTGCTGCTCGTGGCCTATGCAAAGCCAACGAAGGCCTCCCAGTTCTGCAGCTACCTGGCGTCCTGGAACCCAGACAAGAAATGCTGCTTTAGTTGCCTAGAGCACTTCGGGCCACCTCCCTGCCCAGGTGAGAAACCAGGAACAGGCCTATGTGGGCATCCAGGGCCTGTGACCAAGTATTAGGGGAAAAAGAGGCACCGAGCCTATGGGGTACTATTGGGTCCTGTGATGCTTACTAAGGGGTGAAAGGGTGGTGGGCTCTATGGACTTGGGGTTGAGTCTGTGCCAAGGGCTCCCACAGACAGGACAGCACCAGAGGGACAGAGCCTGTAAAAGTCAGCATCTGGCAGGTGGGTTTTGTGTAGAGAAAGCAGGTGTGCATCAGGATAGGTAGGGCCTGTGTTTTGGGAAAGGTTTTGAGAAAGGTAGGTCTTGGGTAAGAGGACTGGGGTGTGAAGTGCTAAGGGGCATGTAAAATCAGAGCAGGGGTGAAAAGTGAACCCCTCACCTGTCCGTCTTCCTTTAGACCAGGAGTTCATAGAAAACTGTGGAATGAGCGACACAGGCGATTACCGAAAATACCCCTTCAGAAACTGTTCCCCTGGACAGTGCAACCCTGATGGAGCAGAGCTGTGTAGGCCCTGCGGGGCCCCACCCTCAGCTCCCACCAGTAGCCAAGGTGGAACCCAGAGTCGCTGTAGAAAGGTGCGAACCAGGCTCCCAAGGGCAAAGGCAGGGAGAGGGTGCTAAGAGCTGAGGGGGCACTGTCTAGGATTGGGGAGGTGTGGCCTGAATCCTAAGGAAAGGGTGTAGTCCCTGACGGGGGTGGGATATGGTCATAGAACTGATTAAGAGGTGGCTAGGTAAAAAGTGTGTGCAGGGTATAGATTGTGAGGGGCAGGATCAAAGGCAGGGATGTGGCCCCCTCGAAGGCTGTAACGCTGGAAGGTTGGGCCAAATGAGTTGGGAGGGAAGCATAGCTTCACTTTCACCTTTATTCCCAGAGGCCCATCCCTCCCAAGAAGCCCTGCAATCGGGCCTTTACAAAAGCCGCTGTCCTACCCACCCAAGAGATCAGCTCACCTGTCCTACCCACCCAAGAGATCAGCTCACCGGCGACTTCCAGTCTGTGGCGGCCTACTTATCGGCAGCACACCTCCAAAGGCCGTCCCTTTGAGCTCACCTTCCTGAATTTCACCCTACCTGTGGTGGTGGTCTTCCTCGTGGCCTTCTTACTGATCCTCCTGCTCGCTGTGCAAAGGCAGTGTGGCTGGGAATGCAAGAAGCCCGACCCCCTTCCCTTACTTTGCAGCAGCCAAGACCCCCCTGTCCACTTGCATTTGCCCTCCTCAGGCTCTCTGAAGGCCTCAGAACTGGGATGTGCGCACGTTTCTCTGCTTCCCTTCCGGGGCACAGGTGAGTTAGGCTAGGGGATCAGGGCAGTGCAGGTGGACTGGAGGGCCTCCCTCATACCCCTTTAATCCACCTCATCTGACCCCCAGAGCTACTGGCCCTGGAGAAGCAGCCTGTCTCTCGCCTCCTGGATGAACTGGAGGTACTAGAAGAGCTGATTGTGCTACTGGACCCCGAGCCAGGCCCAGGTGGGACCCCTGCCTGTGGCACCACTCGACACCTGGCCGCGAGATACGGACTGCCTTCTGCCTGGTCCAACTTTGCCTACTCGCTTCGGCCCAGTCGCTCCCCACTGCGGGCCCTGCTTGAGATGGTTGTAGCAAAAGAGCCCACTGCCTCTCTGGGCCAGTTTGCTGTGTACTTGACCCAAGTCGGGCGTGCTGATGCATTGCAAGTGTTGGCCAAGCTCAAATGATCTGGAGTAGCCAGCCTCATACTCAATAAAGCTTCCTTTGAACCTGTCTCCTGTCTCGGGGCCTTATGAAGGAACTCGGTAATCCTAACTGAGCCAAGAACTGTCATTCTTCCTATGAGTAGCACAGGAGTGGGTCAGGTGGCCCCAGATACCTCATGTGATGCCTTGCTACCCTAGGGATGGCTGATGCCCTGGGGCCCAGCTGTGCTCTCATCTGGAAAGAGTCCCCGAGCGTCAGATGGAGAATACTTGTTGCTTTGAAGCCCTGAGAAGCCTCAGAGTTTAAGTCTGGATGACAGGCTTCGTCAGCTCGGCGTGGATGTCGATGTAGGTGGGTACCCCCAGCACCACACACATGGGAAGACCACATCTCCAAACATTGACAGACTTTATTATGGAGGGGTTCCCACCCGGGACCCCCACCTCTTAAATAAAAAAGTGCATAGAAAAGAAGGGATTTAGAAACTTTTGTACAATATCTACATTCTGGGCCCCCGGGGCAAGAAGGGGGCAATTGCTAGGTGGGCTGGAAGGGTGAAGGCAAAGTCCTTTTCACCTGTAGGCCCACATCCACCCTGAACATGTTGTGGGGGTGAGATGCTCTGGGTGGGGCTGAGGAGCCTCCCCACCCCCGGCTAGGGAGAAGATGGCAGAGGAAGGGGTCCCCCAGAGCTTCAGTTAAGGAAGCGACGGCAGCGCTTGGCGCCACAATTGCAGGGCAGCTTGTTGCTGGCATCCTCGATGGGGAACTTGTAGTCGTAGGTGAGCTCCTCACCACGCAGGATGCGGCGCAGAGCAAAGATGACTATGTGCTTCTGGCCCTCCACGTGGATGACCCGGGAGAAGCAGTTGGGCTCACACGAGTGGTTGATGAAGCGGGCAGCATTCCCATGCATGGTGGCATCCACCACATCAAAGTCATCCATTCGGAACATGTAGCACCCTATGCCCTGTTGGATAGGCCAGGAAGTTAGGGGATCGGACCCCAGGAACTCACCCCACCTGTCTTCATTCACAGGGCCTGGTGGAGCCCACCTTCCCATCATAGAACTTCTCCCGCTTGTCGGTCAGCACGGAGCGGATGACAATGCCCGAGTACTCAATGACCATTTCGCCAGCATCAATGTTGCGCTTACAGAATAGGCCCCGTCCATGGATGGCCGATCTGTGGGGTGAGGAGCCAAGAGAATTTTAGGGGACGGGGATGGAACTAAGGCAGCATGTATCAGGGCACCTGTCCATCCTCCCAAGGGGCATTCTTCCCCCCCAACCCCACTCACCTGTAGACCCCCACAGCCTCCTTTGAGGTCTTCTTAAGGTGGCGAAAGCGCATGGCCATGGGCAGCTCCAGACTGGTGGCACGTCTAAGGGAGGTAACCAGTATGTCACACAGGCTCAACAACTGCTCTCTTGTTCCTAAGCGTGGTCTTCAGGACCCTCCCAGACCACGCCCAGCAACCCAGCCTGCCCTCCTTACCTGGTTGACCTGAGCTGTACCTCGTCCTCTTCCTCGTCACAAGCAGCCCCCTCAGGGAGCACTCGGTGCTGGGAAGCCAGGAAGTTGAACATGTCAAAGGTGCACTTCCTGCAGGGGGTGGAAAGAGAGGGCAGGAGGGTCACAGCTATCCCTCAGAGCTGACCTCCCTGCTGCTGGGCCAGAAGGAATATGGCTGCCGAGAGGACAAAGCAAAAGGAGAAACGGGTGTTCAGCCCGTTATGAGCTCTGGATCTACATCTAGAGTCTGAAGGCCTAAGTTTCCCATCTCTTACCAAACTATTGAGCACCCTGGGGAGCTCCCACTGGGCTCCCAACGCTGGCCTCGCAACCCAGAGCTCTTACCGAAGATAGACCTCAGCCCGGGCTGCCCCATGGGGATTGAGGGGTGGCTCCTCCTGGCCCTCTCCCTGCTGGTGGTAGCGGAACTTGTAGTGCTGGCAGCGTTGGGCCCCGGGCAGCTGTTCTGCCAGGAAGATGACAGCATCGTGGTGGATGCCCAGCAGCCTCGCCCCACTCATTCCTGGGGTGTCAAAGGTGAAGATGTCAAGTTAGAAGGGAGGGCCATCTTGTCCTTGGGGAGTCACCCTCTCCCTGGTGGTCCCTGTGGACCCCTCACTTACCACTAAAAGAGAGATGTCTGAGGCGGGCATGCCCTCGGGCTTCCTGAACTTTCTCAATCAGCGTCCTCCATGCCCCTGGGAAGAGGGCAGGGCCAGTCCCGGGTCACAATGACGTTCTATTTGCCACCCTCCCTCTCTGGTCCTCCCTTCCCGTCAACATTGCTCCAGACTCACCCTCCAAGCTCTCTGCCTCCACGCTAAACCCATCCTCGCTGCTGATCTCGAAGCGCAGGTGCGGGCCGGCCCGTTTTGGGGCCTGGTTTTCTTTGTTCTCTGGGGAAGGAGGCTCTTCCTCGGAGCTTGAAGCCTCACCTGTTCCAGGAAGCATGTCAGGAGGTGGGGGATCACCCTTCCAGGACTGAAAGCCTCTCCCCTCCATGTCCCTCCCCACTGCCCTACCAGGAGATACTAATATCCCATCTTATCCAGGCACAAGCACAGATACCTGGGACTGACAGCCCTCCTCCTCCTCAACTGTAGAACAGATACTATTTTCCCATAAGGGGTCCGTAGTTTCTTTTCTGAAGGTCTTTTTGGTCAGATGGGCAGGTTCAGGGAAGCTTAGCTTTCAAGCTCCAGTCTCCCATAAATGCCCATCTATTCCATCCTTCTGTCTCACACCAAATGAAAAATCCTGGAGAATTATATTTGCACACACATTATTTTTTAAATTTTATTATTTTGTGTGTGTATGTGTGTATGTGTGTGTGTACCATCAAATCAGATCTGACTGATACAGGAGGAGATTGTCCCTCCTTCAGCAGAGCACCTGGTGGATTCCAACTGTTGCACACACATTATTAAAACAGACTTGAATTCTGTAAATGTTTCCAGCATAGGACCATAAAGAATCCTAATTATTCGTGTGCACTTTCAAATTGAGGCCAAAGAAAATGGGAACAAGTCCACGAGAATCAAAATCAGTTCTGGAGTCTATCCCGCCTGGACTGAAAAATCATCTTACGAATAGGTTTGAAGCAATGAACACCAATTATCAAAGACCAGATGAGTTGTGGGATGAAATTAAGGATATCATCCGTGAAGAGAGCAAAAGATCATTAATTACAAAGATAGAGGAATGTCAGAAGAGACTCTGAAAATTGCACTACAGCGTCGAGAAGCCAAAACACAAGGAAGAGAAGAGATGCTGAAGTAAAAGAGGTGAACAGGAGCTCAAGAAGATAAAAGCAAAGAGTTATAACGAAATGTGCATAGAACTAAGGGCGGGGGGAGAAGAATTCACTTGGCATTCTTAAGCTGAAAAGAAGTGAAAAACAAATTTAAGCCTTGAGTTGCAATATTGAGAAATACTATGGGCAAAATCTTGAATGATTTAGGAAGCATCAAAAGAAGATGGCGGAAATACACAGAATCCCTGTACAAAAAAAAACTGGTTGACACTGAAATATTTCAGGAAGTACCATTATGATCAAGAGCTAACGGTAAAGAAGAAAGAAGTTCAAACTGCATTGAAGGCACTGGCAAAAAATAAGGTCCCAGAAATTGACGGGATACCAAGTGACATGTTTCAACTAACACCCTTGAATTTTTTTTTAATTATTATTAAATTTTATTAGTTTTACACCCTTGGATTTGAATGTGCTAATCTATGAGCACATATATGGGCACAGGTCTATCCCAGGAAATCTGGAGGCCAGCAGTCTGGCTGACTGACAAAGAGATCCGTATTTACTCCCATTCCCAAGAAAGATAATCCAACAGAACCTGGAAATTATCAAACATTATCATTAATATTATATGCAAGCAAAATACTATTGAAGATCATTAAAAAATGGCTAGGACAGTACATAGAAAACTGCCCCAAGTTCAAGCAGGATTTAAAGGAGGCCAGGCACCAGGGATATCACTACTGATGTCAGTCAGATGGATCCCGGCTGAAAACAAGGAATATCAGAAAAATGTTTATCTATGCTTTACTGACTACTCAAAGACATTTGACTAAGTGGATGATAACAAATTATAGCTAATACTGAGAAGAATGGAAATCCTAGAACACTTAATAGTGCTCATGCAAAACCTACACCTAGACAAAAGAGGTGTGAACAGATCAAGGCAATAGTGGTGTTGTTATATGCTGTCGAGTTGCCTGCAACTCATAGCGACCCTATGTACAACAGCCCTAAAGCCTGCTGTATCCTGCTGCCAATCTCACACTCTCTGACACACCTACCCCCATTACCCCAATCACTGAATCAATCCACCTCACAGAGGGTCTTCCTCTCCTGCGCTGTCCCTCCACCCTCCCAAGCATGATATCCTTCCCCAAGGACTGGTCCCTCCTTGCTACATGTCCAATGTACATCAGACGGAGTTTCAGAATCTTTGTCTCCAAGAAGCAATGTGGTTAACTCTATTCAGGATGAACCTGTTCGTATTCTTAGCAGTTCATGGTATATTCAATACTCTTCTCCAACACCACAGCTCAAAGGCATCGATACTCCTTCTATCAACCCTAGTCAATGTCCAGCTCTGACACAGAGCAAGGGATTGCAAAGACCATGGCCTGTATCAAGCGCACCTTCATCTCCACAGTGACACCACTGCTCTTAAAGGACTTTGAAGAGGTTCCTAACTACAGACTGTCCCATCGCAATACGTCTTTTAACTTCCTGACTACTGGTGCCAAGAGTGTTGACTCTGGAGCCAAGCAAACTAAAGCTGTCAACAATCTCAATCTCTTCACCATCCATCCTGATGCTTCCAATTGGTCCAGTGGTGAGCATCTTTGTTTTCTCGATACTGAACCTCAACCCATATTGAAAATTTCAATCCTTGTCCCTCTGCAGCAAGCGCTTCAGGTCTTCCTCAGTTTCAGCAAGCAGGGTTGTGTCATCTGCATAACGCAGGTTGTTGATGAATCTTCCTCCAATCCTGATGCCACACCTCTCCTCATGCAGCCCAGCCTCCTGGATAATCTGTTCTGCATACAGGTTGGAAAGGTCTGGAGATAGGACACATCCCTGGCCTACACCCTTCCCAATTTTGAACCATGCAGTGTTTCCCTGCTCTGTTCTGACGATTGCCTCTTGGTCCAAGTATAGGTTTCGCATTACTACTTAATTATAATTTCTTAAAATTAAGAAAGGTGTGCATCAGGCCTCTCTCCATACCTATTCAAGCTGTATGCTGAGCAAATTATTCAAGAAGCTGGACTCTATGAAGAAAAATATGATATCAGAATTGGAGGTAGACTCATCAATAATCTACATTATATAGATAATACAACACTGCCTGGTGAAAAATGAGGACTTGAAATATGTGCTGCAGAATATCAAAGATTAGAACCTTCAATATGAATTACACTGCAACATCAAGAAAGCAAAAATTCTCACCACTATAGTCACCATCATGATAAATGGAGAAAAAAAATTAAGATTCAGCAAGTTCATGGATCCACAATCAATACTCTTGGTACCAGCAGTCAGATCAGGAGATGTATTGCACTGGAAAAGTCTGCAGTCAGGGATCCCTCCAAATTATTGAAAAGCAATGATGTCAGTCTGAAGACTAAGGTGCACTTGATTCTAACCATGGTCTTTTCAGTCACTTGTTATCCATCTGAGAGCTGGACAATGAATAAAGATGACAGAAGAATAATTAATGCCTTTGAGCTATGGTGTTGGAGAAGAGTACTTAATATCCATCCTGTGGACTGCCAAAGAACAAAATGTCTTAGAGAAGGTGCAGTCAGAGTGTTCCTTAGAGGCAAAGATAACAAAGTTTTGTCTCACACACTTTGGGCATGTTGCTAGGAAAGGCTATTCCTTGGAGAGCAACATCATGCTTGGAGAGGTGGAGGGGTGGTTAAAGAGAGGAAGACCCTCAACCAGGTGGACTAACAGTGACTGCAGCAGTGGGCTCAAGTGTGTAAGAGAGAGATGCTGAGGATGGCACACGATAGGACAGGGCTCAGTTATACAATTCACAGGTTGCTATGAGTTGCACTGCACTTAATGGCACCTAACCAAAACCAATATAGGATCAGATCCACAGTACCTTATGAGCTACTTAAAAGATTTCTTAAAGGCTAATTCTGACCAAACAGAAATTTTGTTCTGTGCATGGGTTTTGAATTTGTCCATCAGAATGATCAACAAATGCTTTCTGACCCAAATGCCTGCTCTTGTGTTTACATTCTTGTTGGATGAAGAAACAATAAATATAATGGTAAAACATATAATGTCAGAAAAAGAAAAGAAAGCTAGGGAGAATAGAAAAGTCAAGAAGTTAACTGGGTAGCAGAGCTGTTGGTTCACAGACGAGACATGGCCTGTCGTCACCTAAAGGTGACACTGAGATGGGTCTTAATTAGCTAGTACTAATACACAGGGTCACTTTGAGTCGCAAGCGACTCAACAGCACATAACAACAACCACCACCACCATCCAAATGTGCTGTCAGGGACCTCTCCAGAGTGCTGAACAGCAACAATATCAGTCTAGAGACTAAGGTGCACCTAACCCAGGGCATGGTTTTCGCAATTACTTGTTATGCTTCAAAAAGCTGGACAAACGACTAAGGATGACAGAAGAAGAATTGATTCCTTCAAGTTGTGGCACATGAGACGAGTCAAGAACATACCATGGACTGCCAAGAAAACAAATAGGTCTGTTTTGGAGAGGGTGAAACCAAGTTTCTCCTTGAAGGCTAGGATTCTGAAGCTCTGTCTCACATATTTTGGGCATGTGGTCAGGAGACTGATCAGTCCCTGGGGAAGGACATCATGCTCGGAAGGGTGGAGGGACAGAGTGCAGGAGAGGAAGAGCCTGGATGAGGTGGACTGATACAGTAACTGGGGCAATGGGGGTTGGTGTGTCAGAATTAGTGAGACTGGCGTAGTACACAGGGCTGTTATGAGTTGCAGACGACTTGACGGCACATAACAACAACAATGCACTTACTGGAAAAAGAGTGGAGGTTCAAGTTTATTTAAAAGTGCCTTGGAAGAAAAGCTTGGAGAGCTACTTCTGAAAAATGGGCCATAGAAACTCTATGGAGTGTTCTCGTCAGATGTAAGGTCACTGTATACAGGAGTCAACCTGACTGGTAACTGATAAGGATACTGAAATTTAAGAAGACAAAGGAAATTCCCTTGCCATTTTCATAGTTGTATATCCTGGTGCTATCTATCATGCTAGAAAATTAAAAAGGAGATAAAACCCCAGAAATGTTAAAATCCTTTAAATGTGCCCTTGCATGCTCATGATGCTAAAGGTGGCCTTCCTGGGAAGTGGACCCTGAGAGCAGAGACTGGGGAGTGAGAGAAGCAGCAAGGGTCAGGGTGCTACTGGAAGAAGGATGGCCAGTGCGAAGGCTCTGAGGTAAGAGCACATCTGGTGCATTCAAGAACCCCAGCAGGGACACTGTGGGTGGAGTGAGATGAACAAGTCATGGAGGAGTAGAAGGGAGTAAGTTACCAGGACTGTGGAGAGCAGGGAGGAAGTAGACAGGCGAGGAGTTCGCAGGTTGAGGAGAGGAACATCAGAGTGAAGGGGGACGAGGGAAAGGCTCAGAGCCAAGGAAAGACCTACTGGGACCCAGGTGTGTTAACTGGATCTCTTTTGGCTTCTTGTTGCAAGGAGACCAGGGAGGAGGCTCTACAGTAGCCCAGGATGGGGGAATTAAAAGTGGCCATTCAAAAGAGATCTGAACCAGGACACAGGATGTGCTGACGTGGCAGATGCGGGTAGAGGGGGAAAGAGGGAGGCAGGCTATGGATATCTTGGAAGTTTGGTGCCTGAGTACTAGGAGGTAAAAATGAGGAAGGACCAGTTTAGAATGAAAGTCAAGGGTCCAGTTTAGACCACGCTGAGTTTGAGACATTCTTAGAAAGCCTCCCCCATATCCCAATGGTGAAGATGACAAGCAGGCAGCAGAATATTAAAAATTCAGGGGCAAATCTAGGTTGGACAGGAAAATTTGAGAAGTGCTGGGATTAACCATGATGAGGACCTGGGAAGTGAATGAGGGGACAAAGGTCAAAACCAGGGGCATGGAGACACTGGAGTTGAGGACAGGTTGGGACAATCAGGCAGCACAACCACAAGCTGGGATTATGGAGTTCCAGGAGCTGGGAAGGAAATGATTCTCAAAGGAAGCAGTCACTGCATAAATGTTGCTGCTGGCTCAAGCAGGATGTGGCCAGTATATTCAATCACACTGAGAGCCATCAATGACCTTGAACAGTTTGGATGCAGTGCGAAGAAGAGAAGTTTCAACGGAACATTTCCCAAATGCCTCACCCAATGAAACCATCTGTGGCAGAGCACAGGGATGGTGGTGGTCTAAGGACCACATTTTAAGAATGCCATGGGCTCATAGGGCCATACTCCCTGCATGTCCCTTCTCTGAAACAAGCTGCCCCCATGTCCTCCCTAGCCCTAGCTGAACCTGTAATACTGCTCCTTGCTTTGTGACTGTTTTCAGGTCTCAGTGCCCAGGGCTTACTTCTTCCATCTCCGCTCTTCCCCTCTTCCTTAACCCCGTGCTATTCCCAGAACACAAGGAAGAATTCTCTTCCCTGGTATATGGACCTCTTGATGGCACCATCTCTCACTGCTCATTCTAACCTGCCACGCACTTGCTAATGTACAGGTCTGTCTTCTCTATCCTGGTCACTGCGTATCATCACACCATCTATGACCATGCTGGCTAAGTAGTCTAAGTAGACTCTGTAGTTAAGTGGCTTCAGACCATCCCTCTCTACTGTGTTCAGCAGCTGGACTCTATGTAATGAAAAAAAACCCATACAACCAGACAGGCCTCAGGCTGCTCAATGACCAGCTTACTTGGTGGCTGCCAACTCCTTCTCCCCAACTGCCCTCAGCAACCACAACCTCAACAGAATCCTAAGCTAGCAGAGGAACCTCGCTTCCAGCTTCAATCAAAAACTACTCCAACTGCCCCTAACCTGTCACTAGTATCCCTCCCTGTGCTTTTTCTCCATGTCAGGGCTCTCCTGTTCAAAATCGACCACCATGGCCCTTCCATCCACAAGCAGACCCTCCCTGTGGCTCTGCGGCCTCCACCCTCACCAAAGTCCTCCAGCTGCCTATTTCCCTTCCTCCTCCATCCTAGGTAAGCTTTCCTGAGAGATTCCGGCTTCCTCACTGTCTTTGGTTCTGGACTTTGAAGACATTCCCCCTACCCTGCGCCACCTGCCCACACCTGTGCCAATCCTCCACTCCACCTGCTTACACCCCGGCAGCTCACACTGGGAAATACTCTCTTCCTCTAGGACACTGGTCTCTTCCAAATTTCTTCCAGTCCCTTTTCTGAGTCCTATATCAGGAAAGCCTCAATCTTTCCTGGATGCTCCCCAGAATGTCATCTTTAGGTTTACTAGATTTCCCTGACGCTGGCCAGCAAGGATCTGAGGGCCTTCCCTGGTTCTCGGGCAGCCTGGACAAGGCACTTTCAGAAGACTTCTCATACTGGGCTGAAATTCCATCTACTTCTGCCCTAAGGCTGTAAGGTTCTTGAGGGTGTCTCTAACCCTGGCAGCTAGTCCTGGGTTCACACCCTGCTGGTGTGCGTTTCCTGAGGTGGACTGGTCAGCCAGCTGAAGCAGGTACAGGAAGAGGGCACCAACAGAGCATGCTTATTCATACCTGAGTAGTGGTGCCACTGGGACTCAAACAGTAAGTCAGAGGGACCATCAGGGACCTGAGGAGGACCACTGTCCACCAGTGATGGCAGGGGGGACTGTTCCTGGAGGACCCTGTAAGGAGAGACCTGTCAGCAGGAGGAAAGGCAAGACGAGAAAGGGCTCCCGGGAAGCATCTGGCCACTCACCCGGGGCTCTCCTCTCCAGTGGGCTCACCAGGGTGATCCAGCTCAAAACCACAACGCACTGTGGGGGTTTTCATTCTCACTCGGCTAAACCTGGGGGGAACCATGAGGTTGAACCTCCTCCTCCTCCCCATCCCGACAGGATTCCCTGGCTCTGCACTCACTCACCTGCTACTGCTCAGTGAGGAAGGGGCTCCTGCTGGAGCCTGGGGGCTCTCCTCCACGGACTCCCCATCCTCTTCCAGTCGAGGAGTTTTGTTTGGAGGGGGTGCTGGCGGAGATCGACTGGAGAAGGTGGACACCCTCTTGATACGAATGGCCTGGCGGGGTGGGCTGGCGGGTCCACTGCTCAGCACCAGTGTCAGGGGAGGGGGTGGAGGAGGGGGGGCGGGGCGAACCACCCCAACCACAGGCAACACACTCAGTAGGGGTCCTGGTGGTAGAGTCCAAGAGGTAGGGGCTGTGGAGGGAATGGGAGGGGGCAAGGGTGGCTGTTTCACTGGGGATGGGACTTGTTCACTCTCCCCGGCCATCTTCACAAATACTTGGCCCAGTTTGTTGACAAGGATGATTTTGGATGTGGCAGGTTTGGGGGGCTCAGGGGCAGGGCCTAAGCTCAGCACTCGGACCCCTGGGGCTCCCGGGAGCCAGGCAAACGTCCGGGTGGGGTCAGCCGGGCTAGAAGGCAAGCCCTGGGGGGGCTGGCTGCCATTGGCCAGTGGCGGTGGTGAGGGTTGTGGCTCCTCTCTGGCGGCAGCACCCCCTTCGCCAGGCCCCCCCAGATTTTTCAATACAAAATCCACTATTTCTGATGGCAGGTCCTCGGGAGGTCGGGTCCTGTCCCCTGCGGCCCCGACAACCCCAGGCCGGCCCACTCCTTGCCCTGAAGGTGGAGCCCCCTGGCCCCGAGGCTGCTGGACCGCCTCAGCCTCGCTGTCTGTGCCATCGTCCACTCCATCCAGCTGCTCGATGCGAGGGGTTCCAGGGAGCACACCAGGAGTCAGAGTAGGGTTAGACACAACAGTGACAGGGAAGCGGACGTAGTGGGTGCTGGGGCTCGCCTCCTCCTCTGAGCTGTCCCCAAGGCCCCCGTGACTACTGCTCATGGCCCCTGCAGCCACAATTTCTTCCTGGAAGGGCTCAGTCCCCAGCAGGCTGGCTGCGAAGTCCAAATCAGCAGCACTTAGTCCCGACACCACCTCCATGTCCTCAAAGTCCGGGCCCAGATCTTCAGTGGGTGGTGGAGGAGACGGGGCTGGGCCAGGGGGAGCCAGCTCCCCTGAGGTAGGTGTGAGGGCTGTAATGGCTGAGGTAGGAGGGGGCACCCTGAGCTGAGGGGAAGTTCTGAGGGGGGAAGAGGCCCGTCGTGATGATGGCAGCCTTGGAGTCAGGGGACTGGGACGACGAGAGCGTCTGGAGGGGGCTGGGAAGTCTGGGTCTCCCACTGTAGGGATGTGATGGGTCAGAGAAGAGGGGCTTCCTGGGGGCAGAAGGGTAAGGGTCAGTGCCAGCCAGGCGCTCTGTCTCCTCCCACCCTTCCCCCAATGCTCCCAGCTGCTCACCAGGGGAAGGCAGGGGTCCAAAAGAGATACCACCCAAGGGCCTCCGAGAGGGTGAGTAGTTGGGCACTTTGATTCGAGCCCCCGAGAATGAGCGGGGGGCCAGAGGAAGGGCGCTACTCGGATCTGACCGAAGCGGGGGTTCCAGGTTCTGAACAAGTGAGTGATGCTCAGGAGTTCCAGGGAGAAGGGTATCCATATCTGACAACGGGTTCTCATGATCTTGGGGTTCTAAGAAGAAGGCAGGAGAATGGTATCAGGGGCAGCGCAGGTCCTTCCATCAGAACCTCTTGTCATGTAGGCCTGACCCTGACTAGTCTACGCCAGCATCAGCCAGCCCCAACCCCTCATTCTGTGACATCTCCAAAGACACTGAGGTCAGCACCTGTGCAGCCCACCTCACCCAGACTTTGTCACTGTCCCTGCCAACTGCTGGGGCTGCTCGTCGCTCTCTGCTGCTGACTCAGCATCCAGCTGCCCAGGGGCACTGCCCTCTCTCCAGCACGGCCAGTCTTACCACTTTCTGACTTGCTCTGCGAATCCTGAATCCTGCCACATCAAACACATCTGCCCCAGCCTGGTGCTTCAGGCTCCCCATTAGCTAGCTCCACCCAACATACAAAGGCAGTCTTGCCACCTCCTCTCAACACCTTGTTTTCAGTCAAAGCATGTGCCTCCTCCTCCCTTCTCCACATCATGCCACACTCCAAGCTGAAATAAACCCCTCAACTGCAAACACACCTCACATCTCTTATTGGGCTCACATGATCTCTCTCTTTGTCTCCAAGCCTGTTCTCTGCTCTACCAGTGAATTCTTAGCTACAGGTTGTAATGACACCAGGTAAGTAACAAAACAGATACAAGTTCAAATCTTGGCTCCACCATTCCGCTCAGCACAGTAAAACACAGCTTGCGCCACACTTAGAGGGCTGTGGGGAGCATTATAGGAACATGTAGCCTTAAGTCAGGTAGGCATTTGTCCATCCATCGCCTCCTAGTAAAAGTAAGTTCCATGGCCCTTTCTCTTCACTTCTTATAAATAACAAGTACCCAATATATTATCTCTAATTACCGTGAAAATAAATGAAAAACTGGCACGCACCCTGGACTTAGAAGAGTTAATCACTCAAGGTAAATAGCATTCAGAGGGAAAATGAGGTGGTAGCAAGGCTGTACCTGAGGAAGGGGTGGGGCTGTGCACAATGGTCCGGTTCTCTTCTGCTGCCTCCAGGTGGACTGGCTCTTCCCTGGGCCCCCAGGGCCGATACTCGAGAATTCGGCACCGATACCAGCAGCGCCGCCGAGCATCCACTGTGCTCCAGTACAGACGAGAGCACCTGGTAGACAGACACATGGAACAAGGAAAGGAGGTCATGAATTGGAAAACAGGATTCGGCCCTCTGAGTCCCCTGATCCCACCGGGCACTCCTCAACTGCTCACTGGTAGCCAATGGGGAAGAGTCGTCCCTCGCAGTCCGAGAGATCAGAGAGAGTACCCAAGGAGTCAATTCGAATGGAGCCTGTGGTACAAGGAGAGGTCAGGAGGGGTGGTGCCAGGCAAGGTCCAGAAGATTAAGGTAGAAAACAGATGGCTTACCGATGAGCACATTGATGGCATCAGGTTCAAGCCCCGTCAAGAACTTTCGCTTGAAGTTGATGCCCTCAAAATCCACATAGACTCGGCGGAGAACATCAAAACCATCAGGGGTCACGATCTCCTGGGAGGTTAGTGGCGAATGGGGGTTGCTGGATTGGTGGGGAATGAGGGGAATGCGAGGGAAAGGCTCTGTAGGCAGGGGCTGAATGGTCAGGGGCCTGGCCTAAAAGACCCTGGGAAACATGTAAGGGAGAAACACTGAGGAGCAGCAGAGGTCAGGCCTGAGGGTTCACTGGGGCTCCTGAGTGAAGACAACCATCCCTAGGAATCAGGGCATTCAAAGGGGAGGGGAAAGCAATAGAGTGCTGTCTTCCCTAAGGTTCTAGCCCACCTTGCCATCAAGCAGGTCTGTGTGTTTCTGGCAGAACACCTTCTTGTCATCCTGGAAGATGCAGTAGCTGGCCCGGGCGCACATGAAATGGAAGTTGCTGAGGCAGGAAGACAGGCAGCAGCCCACCGTGGCTCCGGGCTTCAAGCAGAGCTCACAGCGCTGCGGGTGGAAGGGACTGTTAAGGGGGAAGCCAAGGACCTGGACTGGTGTGACACCGACAGCTACTGTCCTAGACACTCTGCCTGGGCCCTCTTGTCTAGCCTAGCACCATGCACTCACAAAAAAAACAGACACTGACCCCATATGCAACCACAGCCAGATGCAAATCAAAATGATGTTGGATTTTCTAGGCAAGGATTCTGAAGCTTCATCTGACCTACTTTGTACATTTTGCCAGGAGGGACCACTCTTTGGAGATGGAGGATAGAGGGACAGAGCAGGACAGGAAGACCCTTGATGAGACGTATTGATTCATTGACTGAAGTAGGTGTGTCAGAGACAGTAAGATTGGCATAGGATAGAGCAGGGTTTAGGGCTGTTGTACATAGGGTTGCTATGAGTCGCAGGCGACTCAAAAGCACATAACGACCACCACTTCAATTACAGGAAGCGTGAGATAGTATCTGAGCGTCATATTGTTGAGTGGGGAAATTCTAACCCAGTTAATGTCTCACCTTACAGGGTTGTAGTAAGAACTAAAGACCACACTGTATGGAAAGAATCCAGCACAGAATCAATCAGCTGCAGGCCTGATAACTTTCTCTCCTAGGCTTGACATCGTTTATGGCCATAAGGTACAAATAGGGAAAAGCCCATCACTTTAGCACCAGAGTGCTGGAACAACCAAAAAACTCAGTGAAAATATACACCCCAGTAGAGCAGGTCAAACAAACATCTTATCCATTGGAGGAAGGACGAGACCCCATAACCCAGAATGAGAATGGCCCACGCCTCACCATCTGCCTTCCTCGGGCCACAGCAGCATGCACATTCTTGAGGGAGCCATCATTCTCCTCAAACACTTCGGCTGACCAAATGGCACAGTTGACATGGGTCCACTCATTCTGCCCGATGTACAGGAGCCGCCCTGCTTCCTAGAGGTAGCAAGAGGATGGTGTGATCAGGGGTCTGGACTCCAGGAACAAGAACCCACACTGTGACTTCCTGGAATAGCACTCACCTTGGAGTCTGCATCCCCATACTTGAGACAGAGTGCACACTGTCGGGGGTCCTCCAGATGTGAGAAAGCAGCTGAATCCTTGCTCTGGAAAGCTAGACAGAATGTGGAAAGGGGCATATGAGAATTAGGACCTGAAGTACGTCCTCTAAACTTGGGGGCCCAGGCTTCCTGCTCCCATTTCTAGTACCTGCTGAGGGGCCCCCTGGAGGCTGCCCTGATTCTGGGATCTCTGGCTCCTGCTGCCTCCACTGAGCATAGACATGGTCCAAAGATGGGGGCAACACCGCATTGGGAAGGACTCCACTGCGGACAGAAAAGGTCAACATGTGTCACATCTGACAAAGGAAGTTGGACTTGGCCCTGCACACACCACCAGCTTAAGCATGCCACATCACCCTCTGCCCTGTTTGAATGTGGAATTTCTTCCAATTCCCTGAAAAGTCCAGGCCCTTTCATACCACCCTTGATATATGAAATTCTGCCTGTCAGGCCAGAACAGCTTTCCTCAAACTGTGTGTTGCCTCTTTCAGAGAAGTGTTCCTGGATCTGAGATTTAGGCAATTGTCCCTCCTGACCTTCTTGGTCACTGGTGCCTGTTCAGTCCCCTGTCTTGACCACTATAAGAACAGAGCCCAATGTCATTTACTCACTACTATCCCCAATGTGCATCAAACAGAAACCGTGAGAGCAAACTAAGCCTTCAGAGTCTGCTAAACAAAAGAATCTCAACCCAGTTCTGTCACTCCTAGACTCTGCCCGCCAACAATCCTCAGCCCAGCCTGACCCCTGGCCTCCCTAGGAGCCCTCCCTTTGCCCTTGTCCCATGGGTCCCCTCCTGCTACTCAGCCTTGCTCACTTTGGCAGCCGGGTACTCCGCCGCCAATACTTGGGGTCGTGGGCGTCAAACCAGCTGAACGCAGACTCTAGCAGCTGGGGAGTGGGTTAACAAGATGAGAAGAACTGGCTTCCTCAGAAGAACTGGTGAGGATAGGGTGGCCCCCGCCACACCACTCAACCGGTGTCCCCCAAAGAGCTCACTTTCAGCAAAAGCCCCTTCATCTGGCCTCCAGCTCGGCGCTCTGGGGTCTCTCCTCCTTCTGAATGTCTCATCAGGATGCCCACCATGTCCTCCATGAAGCTGTGCTGTAAGGAGGTCCATCATGGTCTGAGCCCCTCATGCCCAGCCCTCTCCTCGTGGCACTCACCTACCCGCTCCTCCAGTATCCCACTCACCACAGACTTGTAGTGACCTTCCTCAAAGCGCCGACTCACAGCCTGCAGATCACAGGGCCCAGGGTGCAGCTGCTTCCCGTCCTGCCCACACTGTAATGGGGAGGGTGGAGGTCAGCAGAGCTGGTACTAGGCAGGCCCCACCCGCTCCTGCCTTGTGAGGGTTCCCGACCTGGGAGCACAGCAGAAGTGGGCCCGCCACCTTGGCACTGAGCAGGCCCTGGAGCACCTGGCGCAGGCCTCCCCGTAAGGCCCCGCTCAAAGCCTCCCGCCAGCGGGGGCGTGTGGCCCCAGCACATGGTCCACAGGTATACAGCACTGAATCCGGCAGCCCCGAGAGGATCTCGTAGTCCTCATCTGGATAGCAGAGTGAGGAAAGAACAGACAGCAAAGGCGGTGTGAGGGCTTCCAGCAGTCCTTGCACTGCCCACCTGTCCTTTAAGGGGTCTGGAGGGAGTATACACAGACCTCCAGAGCGGAGGCCATGCTCCAGGTATTCACTGACCTGAAAGGCCCTCACACTTAGCATGCACCCAGTGGTCACACTGTGCGCACTGCATCATCTTGCTCTCGTAGTCATTGTCTTCATAGCAGCGTGTGCAGATTGGGCAGTAGTTTCCTGAAAGGCAGGCAAGGAGAAGGGAGTCAGAGGGATTGGGCTGACTGCATGCCTGTCCCTCGGACGCCCTGCTCAGGGGCCGGCCATGCTCTACTGCTGTCTGGACTGCTTCCATAATGCTCTCGGGCTGGATCTTCATCATTGCCAAGAAGCTGCTTGAGGACAAGGCCTCTTTAAACCTCAAGAGGACAAGGAGGATCTTATCAAATGTGCTGCCCGAATTAAGAACAAAAAGCAGATTTTTAAATTGCTCAGTAGAGGTCTGAGGTCCCAGGATATGTCCCTGGGCTGCAACTCCCACTGCCCGCAGAGGAGTTCTGCCCCCATTTTACATAGTGGGTAGGCTTCAGTAGACAAGCACCTTGAAAAGGAAAAAAAAAGGTGGGTGTGGCTAGAAGATGGTCATTTGCTGGAAAAGATTACCTGTTCTAATCACCTGTCTAGGTACCTGCCCCCTCCCCTATGGCCCCCGAGGCCCAGACCCCCCTGCCAGGTCCCCACCTTTCTCATAAAGCTGGGTGCACCTGGGGCAGAGGCTGTAATCTCCAGACCACTCGACGTCCCAGTTCTTGCCTGGAGTTGCCCCACAACTTTTACAACGCACACAGGCTGAGCAGATCTGGGGGAGTGGGGCAATATTAGGAGAAAGCCAGACAGCAGGCTGGAGGGTCATGAGGGGGTAGGGGGACAAGGAGGGGTGACAGCTGGCAGGAAGCACATGAGAAAGAACAGGTAAGTTGAAACACGTAAAAGATATGAACAGAAATCAAAAGGAAAAGAAAGAAGTGAGAGAATCAGGAGAGGACAAACAAGAAGTAGATCTGTGAGAGGGAGGTGGGCAAAGTAGGGACCAAAGCAGAGCGGGGATTCCAAGCCCGGGACTATGAAATCTGGGACCTCCTGAAACTACGGCAGACTGGCTTGGCCCATGAATATAAAAACACAGGAAATCTGAAGTGGACATATTTTATCGAATTTTCAAAAGGAATCCCAAGCCTATTCACCGGCCTAGACCGAGTGCAGGGCGGGTGGCAGCAGGAATCCGAATCCCAGCACACAGGGAGCGGGCACTTTCTCACCCAGTGGCGTCGTTTGCGGGTGGCCCGGGTTGGGTAGCTGGGCCCCAGGCAGGCTGGGTGGTAAGCGTGACGGCAGCGCTCACACTCCAGGAGGTGCTGGTGGATGACAGAGATGTACAGCAATGTCAGAACCATGGGCACAGGGACACTTCTCTCTTCCATACCTCCACCCAGCCCAGGCTGGCCCCCATGCCTGGACCTTGGATCCTCGGCCTTTGCGTCCACAGACGTGGCAGAACTTGCAGCGGCGGCAGCACCAGGTATCATGATGCTGGGGCAGGGGCCGCTCTGCCTCCTCCAGGCAGAAGGGATGGAAGGGGTCACAACAGACTTGGCAGAACACCAGCTTGGGGGTGGGGGAGTAAATGATGGGCACAGTGTGAGGGCAGAAGGCCAGGGGTTGAGACCCTGCTGAGGGGGACAAGAAATCAGGTGGTGAGGGCCAACGGGGACTTGGGAGTCAGTGGAAAAAAGTGCAAATATTTAACCTCATGCAGGCCTTTGCTGGCACAGAGCAAGCACACCATCGGCGGTCCCCCTGGCACAGACGTGAGTACGCTCAGGCCACCCATCAGCCACACATTCTCCAGGTCACAGTCCTCCTGAAGGAAGAGAGGATACAGGATCAGTGGGCAGCCAGGAATGTCAGCCAGATCCATCCTGAAATCTTTTGTTTCTCTCACACAATCAAGTTTCATCTGATCACAGCCCTTGCACCACCACCTTCACCCTGCTAAATGTTATACCTTAAAATCCACACGGACTCGGTGCACACCATCAGGAGACTTCTGTTTTCCAGTCCAGCCATTAGGAAAAGAAGCAAAAGGACCAGGGGCCACAGCATCCTGCAGAAGGATGGTGGTGGCTGTGAGAAGGCAGTGATGCCACCCTCTACAGACCCTTCATTGCCTTCTCCTTCCACCTGCCTGAGTCTCCCCCAGAGTGTGAACTTGGTGTAAACAATCCAGCAACTCAGTACCCTAATATGCCGGGAAGCCTCTAGAAGACAGGAGCTTTGCTTTACAGAGGCTGGGGGTTCTTGGTGCAGGGGCCTGCTGACCTTTTCCAGGCGCCTCCGGGCCTTGAGCTGCACCACAGGCTGCAGGGTGGGTTTGCGAGGCCGGCTCTGCTCCTCAGGTTCTGGTACTGGCAGCTCTAGGCAAAACACATCAGAATGAGGTCCCCAACCTTCCCAATACGTCATCTAGTGTACTTTCTACTCCAACAGTACTCAGATGTCCAGGCCTTTTTAAATACTAAACAAGACCCACCAGAATAGCCCAATAACTCAACAACTACTTTACACAGCCATTCTGCGCCCTCCTAAAAGCCTTCCTACCCTCGCTCCTTTCTACCTTCAGCCACTTCCTATACCAGGCTGATAGGGCCTATCTACTAGGTCTGGGAACCCTGCCCCTTCCACAGACACACTGAATTAACTTCTTGGTAGAGAGATAAGCAAGCCGTACCACTCTCTCGGGGGGTCCGACGCCGGGGAGCGGGAGGACCCCCAGGGTCCGAATCGTCCGAATCCTCGAAGATATCATAGGAGGGTCGCTGTTTGACGCAGCGCCGGGCTGACTTGCGCTGCAGTAGGAGGGAGTCCTGCTCCTCGGGCCCTTGGGGGGCCACCACCTCCTCCCGGGGCCCCCCAGATCCCGCCCCCCGGCGTGGGCCTGGAGGACCAGGGGAGGCCTCAGGAGATTCATCGGAATCCCAGGGCAACAGCGTCTTCACTATCGTCCGGCCTGTGGGAACAGGGGACTTAGTGGGATTTGAGCTCAGCCAGGGACATAGGTGAAGCTGGGATGGAGAAAAGCCAAGAAAAGTGGCACAAAAGAGAGCAAATATGGCAGAGGTACATAAAGCACGTGATACAGAATTCAAGAGTGGTGGATTGCAAAGGTAACGTGAGCAAAGAGAAGCAAAGCGAAGTGGTTTCTTTAGCATCAAAATCTAAGTAAGGTTTTGTGGAGAAATGCTCCTCAAACCTTGTTACCTTTTTTGGCCAGACGTTCCATCTTCCGAGCCTCTATCTTGTCACACTTCCGGTATCTGGGGAGGGGAGCAGCACGTCACCAGAGTTGGGGACTGGTGGTCTGGGGGAAGAGAGGAAGCTCTCCACAAGGATGCCAATCCCACTGTTTTCGCTGGGCTTGAGAAAAGGGTCTTGGGGGACTACCAACCAAGGGCAGGGATGGAGGTCACATCCCAGTTACTTACACACAGCACTGTTTCTTGGTGTTGGGCCCCCCAAACTTGGGCTTGTCAAGGCAGTTGACACACGACCCACAGTCCTGCACACGGAGGCAGCCTCGGCAGTGCCCACACCGTGCCATTCGCATCTTCTTGCCATGGTGGGAAGGCAGTGAGCGCCTGGGTGTGTGGGCCAGGGTTCCCCCAGACCCTGTGGGCTCAGAGTCCCCCCCAGGCCCTGCTAACTCCGCCTTATCCTGCTGGGACCGTGATGGGACGCTCTCAGTCTCAGATGCTGATGATGTATCTAGTGCAGCAGAGAGGGATGGATGGAGCCACAGTCACTGGTTCCATCCAACGAGCCTTCTGGTTTCCATACTCTCAGGTTCCCAGACAACCCCAAATAAACTCATGTTATGATTCACCACTCCCAACTCTTGTCACCTGGCCAAGTACCTGACTTGGTTCCCATCATCCTAGATATTTACACTTGCTCCCCCCAAAAACTTTACACTGTTGTCAAGTTTCTCCACTACACAAGCCCCCCTACCCTCTGTGGCGAGGTCCTGCCGATCCCGAAGAGGAAGGGCACTGAGACGGGGTACATCTTCGGGTACCATGGCCCGGGCCTGACCCAGAGCCACAGCAGCATGACGGCAGACATGTTTGATGCGGGGGCCTTGCATGGGGGATTCGGGACCCTGGGGGAAGATAAACCAAGAATACGTGTGTATAGTTCTCAGCCCTGTTCTCTCAATTAGCCTTCTCATGCATGGGGAAAGGCACTCCTTCTGCTCCCTACCGAGGGTCTGTCTCTCTTGGCTTCCACGGATTCATCTTCGGACCGGACACAACCTCTGTCTGGGATCTGCTTGACAGTACCCATGGCCTCCTCTTTCTGCCCTCCAGGGCTCAGCTGTGTGTGGGGGACAGCAATAAATACGGTCAGGGGTTGGGAAGATGGTGGTGCAAAGAGCTAAGGAAGAAGGGATGGGACCAGAGAAGGAAAACGTCTTCGGGTTCCCTGTGAGGGAGGCAGATCAAAAGGTGACAGAAAACCAAAGAGGGGAGGACTAGATGCAGGTGATCTAGTCAACGTGCCACGCTCACCGGCATTGAAGACGCCACCTTCTGCTGCTGCTGCTGGTCGATCTTGAACAATTGCACTTTGGCTCTCTTGAGGAGACTAAACATCTTCTCCTCCACCCCTGAGAGTGGTAAGGAGCCCAGGCCTGTAAGCCGAGTCTTTTCCAGTGGTGGTGGCTGCAGCTGTGATTGTAGTTGGGGCTGCTGTGGTGATAGCGCCTGGGGTAGTAAATGAGCTTGCAAAGTCTGTGGGGGCTGCTGGATCTGAACTGGGGGCTGCTGGATCTGGGCCGGGGTCAGCTGGAGCTCGGCTGGGGGCTGCTGGAGCTGGGCCGGGGGCTGCTGGAGCTGGGCCGGGGGCTGCTGGAGCTGGGCCGGGGGCTGCTGCCCATTGCCTGGAGCTGGAGACCCATGTGGGAGCTCCTCAGCCTTAATGGGAGAGGTGACCACAGGGGCAAATCGAGGCAGGCTGAGGTGGTTGGTCCGGCCCACTGCCTTGGGCTCAGGCTCAGCTGGACAGTCATCAGCAGGAGGTGGCTCTGGTTCAGGGGCTTCAGAAGCCCCAAGAGGAGCAGTGAGCACCGATTCATAGATCTTCCGGTGGGCTTCGCTTGGGGTAAACTGAGGGGCACGAAGGAGCAGGGGTCTTCTAGATGGGGTTATAGAAGCAGGGGGAGAGACAGAAAGCGGGGGTGGGGCTGGAGGAGGTGGAGGCAATTCCCTGGTGAGTGAAGTCCAACGAAATGTGGGTTCTCTTAGGATTGACCGTCTCTTCTCAGGGAGTGGGACTGGGGTAGGTGGGGGTGTTGGGGCACGTGGTGGAGAAGGGGCCGGGGCAGGTTCCTGAGGTGGCAGTGGGGAAACGACAACAGGAGGCCTCAAAACAGGTGAGACCTCCACTTTCGGGGGCTTAGGAGGATCTTCATCCATAAATCGCCGGGGCGTCTTGATAACACGAGAGGACCGAGCACTCACCACGGGCATGATAAACTGCCGAATATTCTTTAGAAAGGTGGTACTTTTAGGGGCCACGGTGGGAGTGTCTTCCAGAGGGCCTCCTGTAGTGGTGCTGGGGGTCGGACTAGGCAAGGAAACCCCCTCTGGGCCTGCACGAGCAGCTTCCCGCTCTGCTCGCTGACTGGGAGTCAGAGGAGGTCGGCCCCTCTTCCTAGAGCAGGTCGTGACCACTGGGACCACAGGAGAAGGGGATTCGCCCTGCTCCTCTGGGGCAGGAGATGGAAGAGGGACTGGTGGAGGTGGGGGGGACAGTGGGGATGGTGGAGAACACAATGGGGGAGGAGAAGGAGCAGATGCTGCAGGGGGTGGGAAAGGTGGGGGGGCTGGAGGAGTCAGGGGTGGTGACAGCAGCTTGGTCTCCTCCTTTTCCTTGGCTAGAACCACCTCTTCCTCATCTACAGGCTTCTCTTCCTTTTCTTCCCCTTCCTCCTTTCTTTTCTCTTCATCTTCTTCTTTTTCTAGCTTCTGCTCCTGCTTTTCCCAGCAGGGGTCCCCTTCCTGTTCAGATCCAACTCTTCCTAGAGGAGGATCCTGACAGTTTTCCCCATGTTGATCTTGACCCTGACCTGATTCACAATGCAACTGTCCCATCTTCACTTTTTTGGCTTTTGAAACAAACTTGATCACAAGTGGGAGGCCACCTCGGCCCCGACCTCTGCCACCACGGCTTCCTCGGCCAGACTGTCCTCCACGTTTGGGGGTCCCAGGACCTGGGCCTGGTCCTTCTTTGTGCTTCCAGCTGCCAGTCCGGTATTTTACTGGAGCCACAGGAGGTGGGGGCTCAGGTTTGGGGATTGTCACAGCTGCTTCTGCTACTACTACTGCTGGTGGCTTCTTCCTGCAGGGTCCTGATGGCCTTCCTGGGGGCCGGCCTCGAGACCGACGAGGGGTAGAGGGCTCACACACCCGGCTCCGGGGGACTGGAGGCGCCTGGGCCCGCCGGAGGAGTTCAGTCAGTGCCTGCACCATTCGTTCTGTGCCCTCCTCACCTCGTTTCCGGGCGGGGGTCTTGGGGGGGGTGGGTGTCACATCTGCTGGGCGAGGAGGCGGAAGAGGGGTCGTCTTATGCTTGCGGCCCCGGCCTCGGGGGGCTCGACCTAAAAGGAGAATAAGTGTGGGGATATGGGTCAAGCTGGCCCTGCAGAGTGAGGAAGGCACTCCAGGAGGGCAGGGTCTACATCTTTCTGGGCTGTTTCCCCCACTGCTCAAGGTAGCTTGGGCTCTGAACACAGTACAGGCTTGGTGAACGATGGGAACCTCTGGTTTAACAGGCAAGAGCTGACACAAAGAATATTCCTGCAATGCTAGATGTAGTTTCCCCGTCACTCACCTCGCTGGGATCGGAGCGCAGAGCGCAGGGAACTGGGGGCCACATCTTCATCTGAATGAAAACCCTGAAACTCCTGATTTAGGGGACCGGGGTGGAGGGGAGAAACAGCAATCAGTGCCAGCACCCTCATTCCACCTGAGGCTCAAGTTATCAAGGAATAGCCCCAGCTTCCTCCTTAACAAAACCTTGCCCGTTTTCAAGGAAATAAAAAGACCAAAAGGCCAGAAAAATTAGAAGCATAAGAGATCATGGACCCTGGACCACCAGCAATGCCAGGCCACACAGGCACAGCTGTCAGTGGCCCAGCAAGGAAAGAGTCCTCAAGTCAGACAGGAAGCATACACTCACAAGAGAAAAAGAGAGCTCGGGTTATAGCTTCTCATACGGACCTGGGACTAGCCTAGCAAATAAGAGACGTGAGAGGGCATCAAATGATTTCTTGTGCTAGGATGCACTCAGGACCCTCAGGGGGTCACCAACAGTTGGTCCTGAACAACACAATGCACACCTTCCTGCTTTATCTGCAGGGGGTTAAGTCCTCAGCCAAGCCAGTGCCCACCTCACCCTTGACTGCAGTGCATGCCTGCTAGCGCCCTGACACCCAGGCCCTCCACCACATCACTCTCCTCTCTCTCCACCCAGGTTAGAAGGGGATTTGGGGGACTCGTTAAGGCAGGGATGTGTCAGAGGTTACCCGACCGGGCTGGCAGCCTACAGGTTAGAGTCCAGATAACCCTGGCCTGTCCACACGGCCGCTGTCAATCTCCAGCGGTAAGGCATGCAATATGCAATGCCCACAGCCTCCTGACCCAAACCCGCAGGCGCTCCAGCTGTATGTAGCCACTCTCAAGAAGGGTCAGCCCGGGACCCCTTGTCTGTACCTGCCTCTGGCCCAAGTGACTGGCTGCAGTCCGGGCTCCTCCATCCACTTTCCGAGGCCGCTTCCACTGGAAGCTCCGCGCAGCCTACCTTCTCCCACGACCCTTTATCTCTGCAAGGGCCCCCGAGTTCCCTGCTTCCCACAACACCCCTGGGGGCCACCCAGACCCCTGGAAAGTCCTGGCCTCCGCCCTGCCTGGCGCTGGGGACACCTCCGACCGCCTCACCTCATCGTCCGAGTCCCCGTCACTGCTCTCTTCCTCTGGCACCCAGCCCCGGCTCGGGCCCCAGCCCCGGCCCCGGCCGCGGCCCCGGCCCCGC